TTAGAAAATTCTCTATCAAAAAATGCCCTAAATGATCCTTTTAATTAAAAAAATTCTCCAAAAACCATTTGGATACATAATCAGTAACTGCGACTACAGTCATATGACTTGCTAAACGATTAACTGATAATCTATTTTTTTAAAAAAAAGGTTATAAAAAAAATAATTTTTTTTTTTAGTTTAATTTCCAGATCAGAATTCGCTCGGAGCCGATAATAAGATATTTTTTTATTTTTTCCTTTATTTTAGAAATGAAATTAATTAGGAACGTTCTTTCAGAGATTTCTAGGCTAAAGGTAATGAAGTATGTGGTCATTGTGGTGTGAATGGTGTTAGGAATTCCACTAATGCCATTTCTTTATCTTTTTTAGGTTTTTAAGCAGTTTTTAAACAGCTCTTAGACAAACGGCATGTAATGGAGTGTATATATATATATAGTTGAGTGTGGTATTGCTAATGGTGTTATAAAAAATAATAACTAATGCCACTATTTTTTATTTTTAGGATTCTTGATAGTTCCTGGATAATCCTTCGCGGTAGGTCTTTTGGTTGGGTATTAATGGCGTTATTAAACTATATAATAATGCCTTTTTTATTTTTTTTTAGGTTTTAAGTCAGACGATTATTTGCAATAAGTTTTTTTGGGTGATTATATGGAGCGATATTAACACCTTTTACTTCTTTCTTTTTTTGATTTTTAGACGATTCGTTGATAACTGTTTATGGTAAGTCTTTTGGGTGGGTGTTAATACAGTAGTACTATTAAACTATAATAACACCTTTTTTTTTGTTTTTAGGTTTTAAAATAGTTTCTGTATGTCTCCTTGCGGTATGTTTCTTTGAGTAGTTATGTGGTGATATTAATGGCATATTAAATCCATTTGTTTTTTTTTTCATTAGGTTTCTGAATGGTTTTTGTGGATAAAAAACACAGATTTCTGTACCGGTAATAAGTTTCTTTTGGTTGGTATGTGAATGTTAATGACGTTAGGATGCAGTACTAACATAATTTCTTCTATTTTTTAGGTTCTTGGACAATGCTTTGAACGATTTTTGGATAAAACATTATGGTAGGTTCTTTTGTTAATGCAATAATGGTATTATTAAACAAAACTAACCCTTTTTTTTTATTTTTTTATGTTTCTTGGATTAAAACGCGTAATGTAGATCAGACATGATCGTAATGTCAAGATCAACTAAGACGTGACATCTGATATTAGAACTTAGAAGTTGCTTGTTGGAATTGAACCAACTGGAACAATGTTCTAAACCATTAACAACATAATGTAAATATATAGAATAGGATAAATTAATGAATAATTTAAATATAATAATGAAATAAATATATTATATGTTAAATAAATAAATAAATAAATAAATAATAGTACATATAAATAAATAAATAATAAAAAGAAATCAGGTTTTGACATAGCAAATATACACCTGATATCATAAATAGTTCGGTAAGGATTAAGAGAAATATCGGATTGCTAAAATTCTCCCGATATTCATATAACACTTACCATTATGTTCTGACCTGAAAGTCATATGACAAATCATTTGACCTGTGATTAGTATCCGATATATATTAGAAATATATCGGTGACATATTGGGCGATATATATCTGATTATATAGGTGCCCAAAATATACCAGTGTATATCGGTGACATATTGGGTACCCAATGTTGTACCTGATATATGTAAATGCCTGATATATATCTGATTAGTCACCGATATATAGGTGCCCAATATATACCCGATAGCATAGATTTTGACCAGTGGTCATTGAGTATAAGGAGCCGCGTTTAAAAGTTTTTTTTATTTTTAACCCATTCACGAAGTTGTTTTGGTTCAATACCATATTTATTTGCTGTTGACCATTTGCTATGACCATTTTCGTGATACATAATTACCATTGACCAGTGCCTGTTCTTTCTTCCAGTAATTCTAGCACAATGAGCTTTGAAGTTTCCACAGACCATCTTTTTAGAAATATGAGTTCAGTACAATATTTAAAAGAAATTTCAAAATTTTTTGTAGTAAGAAAATTGTTAAAGAGTAAAATACGATAATAAGGTGTTAAAAAATTTAAGCGCGTCTGTGTAATTTTACGTTATTTCATTCAATATGAATAGCTAATAAAAGTATTTATGTCTCTCAATATTTTCAAATCAGTTATTAATGAAGGCGATATTATAATAAAAAGGAAAATTTAAATGATTTCATCATGAAATATGGAATTGCAAAATTAAATTAGCATGAGGATGAATGTAAAATTAATTTAAAAAATGATAAAAGTTTGCATATTTCTCTTTACAGTAATTAGGACCCCGGATATCTAATATAAAGGTCATAATGGACTTTTGGCCAAAAACACCCCTTTTTGCTGAAATTCAAAAAATCGTTTTTTGTAAATATCTCAGCATCCAGTAATTCAATTTTAATGAACATTTTTTTATTTTGTAGCCCTCATTTAGCTCTACAATTTAAAAAAAAGTTCATCAAAATTGGACCACTGGATGCCGAGATATTTACAAAAAACGATTTTTTGAGCCCTGAAAAATGGGCCAATCTGCCAAAAGTGTGACTTATGACCTGTTTTGGAGATATCCGGGGTCCTCAGTAATTTATAAATTCATTAGTATAATAAAAGGAAGTATAAATGCAATATTCAGTTCCGGTGAATTTCATCATAAAATATAATGTTGACAAATTTAAATTTACATGATTAACATGAGAACGAGTGTAAAATTAATCTAAAAAAATATTTAAAACGATGGATCTTGAGATTGGCTGTGTACAGTAATACAATATCCCCCCATAATAAAATACCCTACCACCTAATATACCCTGCACCTTATAAAATACCCACGGGTATAATTCAATTTTTAAATCGCTGAAATTGATATAGACCTGAGGTATTTTAGGCAGTGCTATATGATATCTAAAAATGGGGCTTCTTCCAATATTTTATATAATATTTCTGAAGATACTCCCATCTAAAAGTATATATCTAGAAGCCTTTCTTTTACGATTTGTTTAATAAGTTCGTTATCGTATACATACTAGTAATAGGGTAGGAAAGTGCCAATATTTATATAATAGATTATGCACTTACCTACCCTAAATACACAATATATACCACATATGCCCAGATACATACCATTGAGATGAAGGCTTCTGCCAATATTTATATAATAGATTACGCAGAAGCCCCACTTTGAGTTGCATATCCGCTTGCCTTTTATTTACGATTTGCTTACTAGCTTACTACATGTCTTTTTTTACATTCATCAAAAAAATTAATTAAACATTTCGGAAATATATTGTGATATAATAACTTTACCTACTGTCAGCATGTATACCTCAACTATTTCCGACCAAACTGATCGAGAAACTCTCGCCCGCTATGACGGCGCCGGCCTTTTAGCTGGTATCCCATCACGTAATGATATTATGGCAGAATTCGATAATGGGATAACCACTATACTTCAATAAAGCCTATCTGGCAAGCAACCCATACATTTCATGTCTACTGAAGTTAGTGATAATATCGAGGGGTATTTCTTCTATATCTTGCGTATCACTGGTTCTTTGATTAATGGGCAAAAGGTGGTCGTGAATATCACAGGCATCTGACCATTCTTCGATGTTGAAGTACCTGAAAACTATTCCTCCTCTTCACTTAAGACCATATTAGCACGCATTTTATCAGTTACATTCAAAAATACAACAAAATTTGGGTTTGAGGATATTCGTGCTTTTCCACTTTAGGGCTATTATACAGAAAAGAAAGCATATATCTGTATAAGGACGTGAAACTACTTTGATCGGTATAATGCCCTAAAAACAGTTTGTAAAGTCAGCATTCGTACAGCCTCAGATGATTTAAACTGCCATTATTATTACTGCAAAGTAGCTCGTGAAGAACGATTACCTCTTTCAAGCTGGGCCGTATTAAGCAATTATTTATACGAATTCACCCCAGATGGTACTTACCTATTTTGACTATCTGTGGATAATTATAATCCAATAAGTGAGGACGATTATAATAATCCATTATTCTCCTCGGCACTTACAAGGGATCGAACCCTCATACTCACATGGGATATTGAGACATATAGTTCACAAAAAACAGGCGAGGTGCCTGACGCAAAATATGATGAAAACAGAGTGTTTATGATTTGTATGACAGTGCATTGGAAAGATAATCCCGAACTGTTAAAACAAATCTGTCTTATCGATGTTGAAGCAGCACCAGAACCAGGCTGGATCACAATTGTATGTGGATCCCAGACAGATTTACTAAAAGCATTCGCTTTATGTTGGAAACTTCTAGCCCCGGATATACACATAGGCTTTAATGATTCTCAATACGATTGGCGGTTTATTGTAGAGAAAGCTAATAAATTAGGAGTTCTCAAATGAATGTTCAATCATATGTTATTCAAGCCATCGAGCCTGAAAAAAATTATAAAATGAGAATATCGATATAATATGATAAAAGTAAATGATGGAAAATTCCATTCGAAACATCTTAAAATTCCGGAATATGTAGCTATTGACGTTCGATCCTGTTTTATGGGAATTTATTCTAAGGCTGAAAAGAGTAGTTTAGCATTTTACTTAAATGAATATGAGCTCAAAAGTAAAATAGATATGCCTATTTACCGCATGAACAAATATTATAAAAGGGCATTAAAAGAGCTAGATTCCATGTCGGCCGAACAAATACGTGAAGTGGCCAAATATTGTATTATCGACGCTCTTAGTTGCCAGCGGTTAATGGTAAAGCATAATGCAATTAATGAGTATAGAGAGGTGGCATCTGTAGATTTCTTATCATTATTTGATGCACATTATTTTGCGGGAGGTATGAAGGTTTGCAACCTTTTAAGTGCTAGCGTATGGCAAAGAGGGATTCTAACCAGTATGATTTCAAGCTAACAAACAGAAACTGGAAAATACCCTGGAGTCTATGTTTTCCTACCAGTAAAGGGTCTCAAAAATAGACGTCCTGTAACTGGCTTAGATTTTGCATCGTTATATCCGAATCTTATCATAACATACAACTTTTCACTGACAAAATCATTTTATCTCAAGAGCATGCCATATCTGTAGAACAAAGCGACAAAAAGCTTCATAAGATAGATTCCTATTTAATAACAACCCCCAACGTGCCTGGTCAGTTCAGCATAACAATATTTCTGAAGAAAAAGGACTCTATACTAGTGTATTGGAATATTTATCAGGTAAACGAAATGAGATGAAGAAGCGTCTTGCACCTTTGAAAGAGAAAAAGGAAGACATAGACTTGGTAATAAGTTCAATGGGTAAAAGTTTGTCATTATCAGAAGCCATCAAGCAGATCTTAGCGAATGCAGAGGTAGAAAAATGTAACGGTCTTTCTAAGAATTTATATCATTTTATTCATAAAGAAAAGTATGAATTCATAGCAGAATATGATTCTATTTGTTTCGACTGTTCTTGTTTGGATAAGAAACAATATGCTTTCAAGGTATATATAAATGCATTCTATGGTACGGCTGGAGATAGTAAATCCCCCTTCTTCTTGTGTGAACTTGCTGGGGGTGTTACTTCGGCTGGACAGAGAAATATCAAACTCATTGCAGATTTTGTCAAGAGAAATAGATTTGGGATAAAATATGGTGATACAGATTTCTTGAATCTAGTCTGTCCAGAAGAACGCTTCCAGAGGTGTGATGAGGCTTATGATAGTGGCAACAGGATCTCAAAAGAAGAATATTGGTCTCGAATGGTGGAAATCTCTATGGTGGAAATGGAAAAACTTCATGATGAAGTTAATGACTTTCTCAAGGAAGATAACGGATCCCCTTATCTTAAAATGGCATATGAGGAAGTCTTATTTCCGGTAGTATTTACTGGAAAGAAAAAATACTATGGTATCCTGCATGAAAGCAAGCCGAACTAAAGCTCTGAATAGGTCAGCCAAATTCAGGTAACCTGACCTGACCTGACCTGAAATTCAGGTCAGGTATGAAGATTGACCTGACCTGATTGACCTGTTGACCTGAAACTATTGATTCTACTATATAATAA